TTTGCTATTAAAATCGAGTTACGAACATAGTAAATCATATGATCCGTAACGTGATTTTAATAGCTTACCTCCCAAATACTAAAGATATTTTCTTTATACCTCCGATATAACATCCAATAACGTTAAGTTTTGTCTTACTTGTCTTTCTACATCACTGATAATATTATTTCTATTTAATTCTAAAATACTTTTTACTAAATCAACCTAGAAATTTGTAATATTCATAAAGATATTATAAAACGAAAAATAATAAACAATAATAAATTACTTGTATGGAAATTGTTACCTGAAGAAAACTCGCTTTTAAAAAAGATACGTCATTAGGCTTGTAATATTTCAATATGTAAGGTAAGAAAAGATCGTATCTATGCCTTGAATTTGGTATTACACATCCTCCGTTTTCAAGGTATTTAAAGGTTTCGACAATTGCCGGATCAGCAATAATAGACATTGTTCGAAAAAGTCGAGAAAAAATCAACAAATTTTATTTATTTTAGATTTTGTCGTACAAACGTTTATCAAAAATTACGTAATCTAGCATTTGTTTTTGTGTGCCAGGTCTGTGGCGCGGCTTGTGGCACATGCGCCACAAACTTTATTTTGGCCGGAATTAGACTTAAGTTGCTAGAAGAATTATGCGAATAATTTAAAAATAAAATTAAAGTAAAATTTTAAGGGCATAATTAAACGAAATTTAAGAACGAATTATTTAAAAATATAATAAAATTTTAAGAACGAATTATTTAAAAATATCATACGTGAAATTAAATAAATAATAAACATAAATATGGACAAAAAAAAATAAATATAATGTAAAAATGAAAATTTTATTTAATAAAGCACAATTTCAAAATTTCCTAAAATACATGAATAAAATAAATTCAATTCAATCAGTTTCTACTAATATTTTGCTTAAGTTGTGTTCTTTTTTACCAGGTTTTCTTTTTTCTGACTTGAAATTGTTTGAGGATCTGAATTTTCTTTTTCTCTGCCTTATCTTAAAAGGAAGTTTTCGTTTAGTACCATTTGATCCTTCTAATTTGTGTCGCTTTACAGACTCCACTTGAATATGAATCATTACACTACTTTGACGTGTGTTATATCTACATTATGGTCAATACTGTAAAGAAATGATAATAATCAGAAAATTGAGATCGATTTTGCCGCAAAATATCTCTCAACAAATTTGTTTAATACAGTATGAAACTGCAGTTCACAGTTTTGATAATCTTCTTTAACAGCTTTCAGGAAAGAAATAAGGATGGTAGAATCATTAATATTCTCGTTTTCTTTATCCAATTCTTTAAGAAAATAATTTAAAGTTATCAGTCACATTTGATCAGATATATACTGCTAGAAGTTTAACACCTACTTCTATTTGGCAATTGAACAATTTTCTAACCTTTCATTAGGAGATTTTATTCGCAAAATTTGATCTTGTGAAGAGAGACCTGTATGTAGCAAAGCATAAAAAGAACTATCCTGTGAAACATAACCTAAAAAAATAAAATTAGTCAAATAATAGTATAGCAAAGTTGAGAGCAGCGAACTCTATTTACCAGATGCAACATATGTAAAGACCATTCGATTATTTAGAGTTAATGATGGTATAAAATTCAAGCTTGCGACATGAAATCTCATAGAAATGACTCCTTGGTGTTTACATGATGCGCCTATCATTCCAACAGGACAGCTACAGGAACCAATAGTACTATTAAAAACGTAAAAGAGACTGGGATCTTTCGTGCTCAGAACTAAATATTCATACTCAATTGCTGTTTGTTGAATAGCATTTTCGTTTACTATCTTCTAACCTATCTAAGGGAGCCAGCCATAATCTAACTATCTGCAATTGATTTTATTAATCATAAGTTTCTCTTAACTTATATAGGCTAAAATTTGCTGATTTTTAGAATTATGGAATCTAATATTCTATATAAATAGTCAAAATTTTAAATGATCGTTAAATTTTAAATCACGAGACTAAATTTTAAAATAATATTTTGAATATATGCTGATCTGATTTCTTAAATTCATCTTTTCTTTCAAAAATTTTTAAATCTTCAAATAATATTTTTAAGTAAAATGCTATTTAAACTATCATAACAGCAGATATAATATAATTATGCATTTTGCAATTACAATTTCAGTGAATAATCTTTTACAATAAATTAAAACATAATTATCTACCTTAAAATATCAATTCCTAGTACACAAATAGTTATGATTATAATTCTGGCCTAAAATCTAACACAGTTTAATAGTTTGTAATTCATTAATTGTTTAACTCTAAAATTTATGATTCAAACATGACAGTTATGAGTTTTTTATCTGAATACATATTATGCATTAGCATTATTTCATTATGAAAAAAAATGTAAAGTTAATGAACTAAAATTTGAAGCTACTGTAAATAGAAAAAATAGAAGATTATAGTTAATAAAAATTTTACATTTATGATCATCAATCATAACTTAACTAAAACTGAAATTATATTAAGCATAGTAATGATATGTAATATAATCAATTAATAGTGATTTTTATGTAAAAAAAAGTATATATTAGATTAAAAAATCTAATTTTTTAACCTTTTTCACTTTTTTAATATGCAACAGAATTATATTATATACTTCTTAAAAAGGAGTTTATTAATAAGCCTATATTGTGTCTTTATATAGATAGTAAACCTAATTACTATTATATATATATTCACGTTTAACTCTTATATATTATTTTTTTATTACATTAAATCTTAATTATTTTATTATATTTCAAATTTTACTACAATATTTATAGAAGAATCCTGTTAAGCAAATTGTATTTATTCTAAATTTAGGATTGTAAAATGTTAAATTAATGTAAACTGAATGAATGATAAATCAGAAAAATTAATATGTAAATATAATACAATGAATGAAATCTGAGAAAAATTTTATCTTAAAGGAAATTTAATTTTAAGTTTTAAATTCTAATCAATCTATTTCATAATATTTTTAGTTATTAGTCTCTTAAAGATAAACTCTTTAAAATATTTACTGCAGCATTAAAAACAGAAATAAAAAGATTTTGAAAAATAATTCAATTTGTAGATAATATTATTATTAATGAAGATTGTACTACTAAATATATGAAATAAAAGGTAATAATAAAAGTAATTGAATTAAATAAACTTTAATTAATTTTTTTACCTTTATTAAAGTCATTACTATAAGAATTTTTATAATATTATTATACAATAAAGTATTATTCATTTATGATAAAAAATACAGTAAATCAGCTTGTACTATTTATTATCTGCTATACTATTTATTAGAGGATTTTAAACAATTATATCGTCTTTTAGATTTAGTTTCTAGAGAAAATATACATTATAAGTTAATTGAAAAATTATATGATAAACAAATAATAAAAGAGTATAGACCTTCGCTTAAGAATATAAAAATAAAATAAAAAGCAAAAAAATAACTACAAGAGAAAAATATACTATATTATTTTATATATCCAAAATATATTACTATTATTATAAATTATATTAAATGTAAAAAGTTACATCTTTTATTCAGTATAAAGATAATATTGAAAGTATTCTTAGATATTATCTTTTATACTTACAGTATGTCATTTTATAATACATATGATCTGATAAAAAATTTCTATTTATGAAATATTCTTAAGAGTTTTTGTTAATAACTTATGATTTTGTACATTATAAATCGAGAAACTATATTATTTATTCAAATGTTTACATTAAATGTGAAAATTTAAATATTACTAGAAAAGTAAAAGATGAACTCTTATATTATAGTAAATATAGTGACAATATTAATCTTTTAAAGAAATGTTTAAGTTAGAAATAGAGTGGTAGAGATAAAGAAAAAGTAAAGTAGTTTAAGATCTAAATGAATAATTGCAGTTTTATTTTTATTTATATGTATAATAAGATATATGTGATATTATTTATATATTATAAATAAAGATATATATATATGCAGTATATGCAGTTATGTAGTATTACAATTTAATTAAAATACAGATATACAATATGTTACAAAAAAACAAAAATTAAAAAATGGTTATAATTTCATGTTTATAATATATAACAATATGAAATTTTTTTATTTGAAAGATGAAAATAAGCTTATTATAATAATAGAATTTAATAGAAGATTCATTTTCCATTATTTTAATAATAAGCTCAAAATATTATTTTATCAAATCTGCAAGATTCGTTAATACATCATCTAGAATTTTCCTTTATTTCTCAATCATAAATCTCTTCAATTTAATAAGATTTTTTGATATCTGACATTTAACGTTAATACTATGTGAAGTCAATCTTACTGCATTATAAAGATTGACAAATGATCAATGTTATTAACATCATTAGCATTTTTAATTTAGTTAACATTTTTATTTTATTCTTATATTTTATTATTATTATCTGTTATATTATTATTATCGTTAAATTATAATTTATCTTTTATATTTATTTTTATCATTATAAAATAATTTAGCATTAATTAACAATTTCTTATAATTGTATTTTTATATAAATAGAATAGAAATTTGTCTTTGCAAAAGAGCAGAAATAACAGTGTAAACTTAATAGTTTGAGTTTAAAACTTAAAATCTAAGGTTAAGGATTGCTAAGAATACAAATCTTTACAATAAAGGAATCTCTTTCTAAACTATATATATTAAAAATCCTTCAATGTGTCAATTGTGTTTATCGTATTTATAAGTTATTAAAGTTATTTTACTCGTTTAAAGTATAAACTTAAGGTTGATTGTGATAGGACTTATTTCACAGTAACTTAGTAGTTTCTCGTACGTTACTCCCTATTATTAAGTCATAATTGTCTTAAGTTCGACAGTTAAGCATAGGGTTAACAAATTGGTGATTTCTACCAGGATTATAATTGTCTTTATTAAACTTATATGAATATACCTACTAGTTTTGACATTCTAAAAATAATCCAAGAATATCATAAAGAAGCATATAGAAATAATTCACCTTTGAAAAAAGATGCATCTTGTGTGCAGTGTAATCCTATTAATCAAATAGTAACAAAGAATTTTAAGAACTTTTGGAATTGGATCTTTAGTGAATATAATACTACAGCATTAAGTAATTGCTCTTTAACAGCATTTAAACTTTATTTAGATAGTTATCGTGAAAATACTCATAATAGTAATAAAATGATAAAAGCAGTAGTCGCATTATTATATTGTTTAAATTATTATCTATACCCTGCTGATTTACCTTCCATTTTACAACACTTATTATTAGTTACTCACACTACTAAGTACTTCAAAAAATCTTTTAATACATCTATCTTACCCCTTGCTTCTACATCTATAACCTCTGAAGTAACTGAAACAACAATAAAGACTGAACAGTTAAAGAACCTCATAGACCACATGACAAAAAGTTTCAAAGATCTTGCTAAAGATATTAAAAATACACCATCTGGTTCAGGTGGATATGGTGAAAACACTACACCAAAAGAAAGTAATATTATTAAAGTAAAACCTTTTTATGAGAATGATGATGAAGACCCAATGATCGGATCAGAAGCTTTGAAATTGCTGTTGAAGCAAATAATTGGTCTAAAGCTCGAATGCTAAAAATTGTACCAGGATATTTGCATGGACTAGCTGTATATTAATTTGAAGAAAATGTCGATACTATCACTTACTGAAGTTCAGATAATAATGCTGCCGCAAGTTTTGTATCATTATTTTTGGAAAAGTTTTCAACTGAAGAAAAGCAAAATCTATGGCACCATCAATTAAATACACTTCGTCAAGGACCTTATGAAAAAGTGGATTTTATGCAGAAAAATTTAAAAAATTGTTAAAGAAAGTCGACTCTTTTAATACCTTACCAGATAAATATACCATAAGATTTTTTCTTAATGAGTTAAGGAAGAATATCGTTCTTCTTATAACATTTAGTCATTCCAAAAATGTAAAAGAAGCTATTGATGCAGCTAAACAAGTTGAGAGTGGCCAATATTATGAACAGCAATCTCCTTATCAACTCAACCAAATAGAAGCAATAATGCTATCGATAATTTTACTAAACAAATAGAACAGTTATCCTTAAACTATGCAACTCTCTCCAATACGTTATCCGCACAACTTGAAGGAAAACCTGAAAAAAGAAAGCCAAAAGATGATAGAAATCTTACAAAAGTTTGGGATACAAAGGCTTAAGATAAAAAGGATGTTATTTGTTATAGTTGCCAAGAAAAAGAACATTATTCAAAAGAATGTATGTCTGAAAACCAGTATATTGAAGGAAATCTGATAAAAGAGAAGTCAGTTATGTTAGAGTTTTACCGATAGTGAAGAAGAAGAAATTGAAGAAATAGAGGAGGAAGAAGTCTATGCCCTCTTACAAAATAAACCTTATACCACTAATAGAAAAACTGCTTGATAATTAAAAGCAGAAAGAAAGAAACAATCTGAATCCAAAAGGGAACTAAACTTGAGAAGCAGAAAACCCATTGATGAATTCATGGAAGTAGAAACTCCACAAATTATTACTCCTGCTCAAAAGAAAAAAGTCAAACAAGGACTATCCCAAATCGATCAAATGGCTCTCTATAATGTCATGCAAGATTTGTTACAAATACCTTCTTCTGCAAAAATTGGTCAGCTTTTGTAATATCCAAATCAGAGACGTAACCTTGCTCAAGAGTTGAGGAGACTAAAAATTCAAGAAACAAATTATGCTAATCAAGAAAGTGAAGAAGAGAAAGAAGACAAATCTACAGCCGTTTGTTGTTATGTTAGAATTAAAGGAAACCCTGTTGTTACTATCTTGGATTCTGGAGCTGCTGTCAGCATTATCACTAGAAAGTTAATGAAGAAAGTAGGGTTATCTATTGATGAACAGTCTAATACTGTCATAGTCACTGCTAATGGAGAAAGGACTAGAGCATTAGGATAAGTTAAAAGAGCTCAAATTGTTATCCAAAACCTATTAATTCCTATTTCTTTACAAGTTATCAATTCTCAAGACGAAACTCTACTTTTAGGAACAGATTGGTTTAGAAAAACTCATACTAGCCTTGATTTCAGAACTAACCAAATTAGGTTAAGATATTTAGCGAAAACAATCACAGTTCCTGTAACTTCTAGTACAAATGAAGTCCCTATTAGTTATCCTAATACTCAAGATTAACAATATGATGAACATAAACAAGTTTTGGATGATTATGAGAAAGAAGAACTTAGCGAAATTGAAGCATATATGGCAGACAGTCAAGAAGAATATGAGAAAAAAACTGATCTTCTACCCCTCGACTACAATCTCTGGAATGAAAAAAATCCTGTTTATTTAACTCTAGCATTTAAGGAAGAATTTGAGGTTAACCCAGTGGTATTTTTTGCGAAAACTTCTAAAGAAAATATTTGGAAATTAAAGATGACCTTCAAGTTAGGCCTCTTGATGATAAGCAGCAAACATCCTTTCAAAAATTAATTAATGATTATGAAGATATATGTGCCTTAAGCCAAACAAAAATTGGACGAACTAGTTTGGTAAAACATAATATTTTAATAATAATCACGATCCAGTTACCACAGGAGCTTATAAGTATAAGGACCCAGTAAAACTTAATTTTCTCAAGAATGAAATCAAGCATATGGAAGAAAATGGAATTATCAGGAAGTCATTATGTTCCTGAGCTTCTCCTGTAGTTATAGTAGTAAAGAAAACTGGAGATAAATGAATCTGCATTGATTATAGAAAGCTAAATTCTATTTCTAAAGTGATGCATATCCTCTACCAAGAATTGACGATTTATTAGAGAAATTCAGAGAAGCAAATTGGTTTTCTATACTTGATCTTGCTAGTGGTTATTGGCAGGTAGAAATGAGTGAAAAAGATAAGGAAAAAACTGCTTTTATTTCTCAGTTCAGTCTATATGAATTCAATGTTATGCCCTTTGGATTAAAGAATGCATCAGCAATCTTTCAAAGGTTAATAAATCATATTCTCTAAGAGTTCTTGTATAAATTTATTGCTGTCTATTTGGATGATATCATAATTTACTCAACAACTTATGAGAATCATATTCAATACTTGAGAAAATTATTTCATGCGATCAAGCAAGCGAATTTAATGATCAAGCTTAAAAAGTGTTATTTTTGCTTACCTAATATAATGTACTTAGGACATGTAGTTAGAAGAAATAGATTACAACCTGACCCTGCAAAAATTGATAAAGTTAAAAGCTTTTCCATTTCAGTTGATTTAACAAGTTTAAGGTTTGCATTAGGATTATTCTTATATTATCGACGATTTGTTTCAGGATTTTCAAAAATTGCCAAACCTTTAACTCAATTGTTAAAAAAGGAAGAACCGTTCTTATGGATAGATGCTTAACAAAAAGCTTTCAATATTTTAAAGGAGAAATTAATTACTGCACCATTTTGCAGTATCCAAACCATCTATCTTATACACCGATGTCTCTGAAAATGGTTTAGGAGCTATTCTCTCCCAAAAGTTAGAAAATGGGTTTGATTGTGTGGTAGTATATGCTAGCAGAAGTATGAATAAAGCAGAGCAAAATTATGGAATAATTGATCAAGAATTCCTTGCAGTTGTATGGGCTGTAAGATACTTTACCATTATTTAAGCTCACAACCTTTTACTATTATTACTGACCATTCAGCTCTTAAATGGTTACAAACATCAAAAATTCCTAAAGAAGGAGAGCACGATAGATCATAAAACTCCAAGAATATGATTTTGAAATTAAGCATAGGTCTGGAAAACTAAATGCTAATGCTGATGCCTTTCATGAATTAATAATGACTAAAAATATGAAGATAATACATATGAAGTCTTCATGGTAACTACTGAGGAAATTGAAAAATCAAAGGATGAATGGCATATTTCTTCTAAACATAACTCTATTAAAGATAATGAAGAAGCATGCTTTGAGAAACAATTACTTCAACAATTTTCCAATGTACCCTTAATTACTGCAGTTAGATACAAAAGCCCAAAGGATGAAATGGAAGATATATATCATGAAAACATTAAAATTAAATCAGTTATAGCCAACCAACTGATTACCAAAAAAGGATCTCAATGTACTTTCACTTGTGATACTAAGAATCATCATATTTATACTTACTGTAAAGCATATAAAAAGAATCTACCTTATGTTACAATTATTCATGATTGTATTATAGGATATAAAAGAGGAAAAATTCACCCTGATATGAAACCAACTTAATGACATATAGTGGGAAGAACCAGTTCTAGTACAACAAGAAAATGCATATTCTCAACTTTATAAAATATTAGATATTATTTCCCTATCTTCTTATTAATCTCTTATCCCCTCAACATTTGTTAAAATATATTTATTTAAGTGAAAGCTGAAGTGTTTGCAGTGTGACAAACAGCTCAAAATAGATATAATATAATATAATCATCTTTTTAATTATTTACAAAACCAAACTTTACCAGACGATTTAACACTAACTCAGCAACAAAAATTAGTTAAACAATCTAGATATTTCGAAATTAAAAATAATTATTTGTATAAACATATTCATCAAAAGCTTCTCAGAGTCATTCGATCACATGAAATAAAAGTTGTACTTTATATGATGCATAATGATCTAACTGCTGGATATTTTGCAGTAGATATAATGTTTGATAAAATCAAAGAATAATATTATTAGCCATAATTATATAAAAATATTAGAGAATATATTCGTTCTTGCGATAGCTGCCAAAGAAAGGAAAATCAAAGAAACACGAAGTGCTACATTCTATACCAGTCTAAGCATCTTTTTATCAAATTGGTATAGATTTCGTTAGATCTTTACCTATAACATCAAATGGAAATAAGCATATTATAGTAGCTGTCGATTATTTTACTAAGTGGCTTAAAGCTAAAGCTGTTCCTGAAGCTACTGCAGAATAGGTTGCCTTATTTATTTATGAATACATAATCTGTCATCATGGATGTCCTATGAAAATTCTTTTTGATAGAGGAACCCATTTTAATAATCAAATGATCAAGGATTTGATGGATAAGTTTAAAATTAAACATCTACTATCAACACCTTACCACTCCCAGACAAATAGTTTAGTGAAACGTTTTAACCATACCTTGTATGAATCTCTAGTAAAAATTGCACAAGATCTAGATAACTGGGATCTACAAATTGCACCAACTTTGTTTGCATATTGTACAAGCAAACACTCAGTCACAAAAATATCTCCTTTTTATCTTGTATATGGGAGAAATGCAACATTACCTCTGGATGATCTTGACGATCCAAATGTCACATTATCTAAACATTTACAAAATTTGGTTGATCAATTACCACAAACTAGAGTAATTGTAAGAAATCGTATTACAATAGTATAACAAAAACAAAAGAATTGTTATGATAAACAAATTGATCATCTTGATCAATTTAAAATTGGAGATAAAGTTCTTTACTACCCAATAAAAAATTTGATATAAAAATTCCATAAAAATATTAAGTTTTATAACGTATAACTTTTATGGAAAATC